TTGATGGTCTCCTGCGGCCTGGCCCCCGCCGCTGAGGTGGAAGGCGAAGGCGGAGCGGGTGAGGGCGGCGGCAGCCCCGGAGGCGGGGGCGGCGGGGGCCTGGAGGACCTCGACGACGAGGACGAGAGCGGCGCCCAGTCGGGGGGCGGGGGCGGCGACGGGTGCAAGAGCTGCACCTACCAGGGCTGCAGCGAGACCACCACGCAGGTGGCCAAGCAGCGCAAGCCGTGGATGTGCAAGAGGCACCGCAACAAGATGTACAAGGATAAGTACAAGCGCAAGAAGAGCGACCAGGCCCTGGGAACTGGCGGCGCAGCAGGAGGAGGAGGAGGAGGAAGCAGCGCAGGTGGTGGTGGTGGCGGCGGCGGCGGCGGCGGCGGCATCGGCATCCCGGCCTCTGTGGCTCCCGGAGCAGCGCAGTCCGGAGGAAGCGTCCCTGGAAGCGGCGGCCGGGTTGAGGTGAGGAGGAGGGGTGTGTGGTTGGGAGTGAAACTGAACGACAGGAGAAGTAGCCGAGGCAGTGGCATAGGCCAGTCCCCTCTAGCCAGAAACACACGGTCTTTATTCAATTACCCCCACCTTTAGACCATGATAGGAAACTTTGTGAACTTTTATTTTCAAGTGGTTAACAGTCGCTTTCTGCAAACATCTTGGGATTCCGTCGGTATCAGATTACAAAGACAAGTACTGGGAAAAGCAAGTTGTAGAAATATAATTGGCTCTGTTTAAGCAGATTTTAGCAGAAGCCTCATTATTTGCCACAGTGAACACCTTACAAACCTGAGCAAAGTGCAGCCAGAGGGCCACATACAGCCCGTGAACCGCTCCTGCCCGGCCCGCGGACAGTTTTGAACATCAAAACCATTTATAGCTTTTTGTCTAAAGTTGATCAGTTCCTTATCTTTAACATACTGCATAAGCCCTCTTTAGTATTTGTGAAGATTAATGTTTAAAATAAGAACAATCATAACATCACTGCTTCATTTTATTTTTTAAGTAAAGTTGGTTCGGCCCCCAAACACAGTTCAGATTTTAATGTGGCCCCCTTATAGAAATTAATTGCCCACCCCTGCCTTAGCATGTATACATTACTGTATACATGTACTGTATACATTACTGAAACAGTGAGGTCTACATTGGCTTGGCCATGTCATGGGAATGGCTGACTGACGGTCAAATTCCAAAAGATCTCCTGTATGGAGAATTAGTGCAGGGAAAGCGCCCCGGAGGGAGACCACAGCTGCGATACAAGGACATCTGCAAGCGGGGATCTGAAGGTTGTAGTGGGTTTTTCGGGCTCTTTGGCTGTGTTCTGAAGGTTGTTCTTCCTGACGTTTCACCAGTCTCTGTGGCCGGCATCTTTAGAACACAGCCAGAGCCGTAAAAACCCACAAGAACCATTAGATCCCGGCCGTGAAAGCATTTGCGAATACATTGGGATCTGAAGGCCTTAGGAATGGACCTCAACAGATGGGAAACCTTGGCATCTGAGCATTCGGCCTGGAGGCAAGTAGTGCCTCTCCCAATTTGAAGGGATCCTTGTCCAGCAGGCAGAGGCAAAGAGGCAGTCCCGAAACCAGCAAAACCAGGGAGCTGGACAGGGGACAGATTTATTTATTTTTTTGATTTATATCCTGCCCATCTGGTGTATTCTACCACTCTGGACGGCTGTATTTGTCTGGGTGGATTGTATTTGTCTTCAGTGTGGAAGGGATTGTCACTCTTGAATTGGCCTTCTCAGCAACACTAGACGCTGTTCCAAGTCCTGTATTCAAAGCACGTTACCATAGTCTCTCGAGACTGAAGGATGCCTAATCTACCTGAACACCTTATTTCAATTGAATGTGTTGCTGTACTATTTTTACAAATGCTTTAGAAACACCATAGATGTACTCTTATTTTTGTGTCTTCTCTACAAGTTAAAATTGGTTTGGAATGAGTTTGAAGTCTTTTTTTCCCCTTTAAGGAAACTTGAGTGTTTTATGATGCTGTTCAGGGTTTTTTGTCTAGAATCCCTGTCATAGACACTGACTTCGATCACAGAAGTATAGTTCTCAGAGTTTGGTAACTTAGAGCAATGTTTGGCATTTTTGAAGCCATTTTAGTTAATTCATTGTTAAGTAATTTAATTTTGTGGTTTAGATGCACCTTTGTTACTGTTGCATGGTAAGATCATATTTGCAGTAAGAAAACTGGATCTGTTTTGTCCTTTTAATGTTGTCTTGAGGAAAGTGGTCAATATACTAAATGAGAGCTGTCCAGATAGCTCATTGTGTTGGAACACCTAGTTGCCAGTTTGGTTTCCCACTGTGTCTTGGAGACAAGATCCAGCATGTACGGCCTTGGGCAAGTAGTCCATCCCCACAGCACCCCCAGAAGAGAATGACAAGCCCCTTTTTACCTAGAAAACCCTGGAGCAGGTTATCGTAAATTGGAATCAGTGGCATGCAATCTCCATAATCATTCATCAACAGAAAATGTCAAGGGGTTTTAGTCAAACACGCCCTGCAGAAATAATGAATTTTTTTTAAATAACTGCTTTGTAAGGCCTATTTGCTTTCAATTTTTTGCTTCATCTTGCCGTTATTCAGATAATTGAGCTAATGCCACTTGTTCTTATTTTATTAATGTTTTAAGTTTTGTATAATCATTATTTAGTACAGTATTGTATGTTTTATCTATTGATGTTAACCGCCCAGAATACTGCTTCATACTAATGGTGAGGTATATAAATCTAATAAATAAATAGCTTTCTAATGAAATAGCTATACTGAATTTTTTCCATCTTTTTACTGTGCTTGCATACAGGATTGCACTGAAGGTTCCATATCTGTATCAAAGCAAAGAACAGGCAACATTGGAGATCGGCCAGCAAAACCTACACTTTTGGAACAAGTGTTAAACCATAAAAGACAGGTAAGGGGTTTTGGCCTTTGACGCAGAAAGCCTTAATGAGAATCCTCTGCAAGACCAGATAGGTGGGATATAAAGAGAATAAATAAATAAATAAAATAAGATTATAGTGATAATTTGAAAATTATTTATTATTTTATTTATTCAGTTTATACCCCACCCATCTAGACCAATGTCTGCTCTGGGCGGCTATTAATTAATATTGCATATTTTGTAGAACACAACTAAATATGGGTTTTCTTTTGTATATTTGATTAGTGTTTCCAAATTCTTTAGTTTGACGTGCATAACAATATTAGAAAAAAACTTCCTCTCTGTTTAGAGCAGTACAGCAATGGAACTAAATTACTTCAAGATATGGTGAGTACACCAGCACTGGAGATATTTAAGAAAAATTTAGACAACCACCTGGCTGATATCATTTGATTTGTTTTCCTGCATTGAGCAAGGGGTTGGGCTTGATGGCCTTCTAGGCCCCTTCCAACTTCACTATTCTATAATTCTAGGATACAAAAAGGTACAAAAACGTCTGTAAAGTTATTCCATTTGTATAACACTTTTTTCTGATACTGTAGGTATTTTCTGAAACTGTTTTAGAAGATAAAATGTTGAGTTTTAAATTAAGGCAACATAAAACCTAATGGTCTAACCATTTTTACAGAGTTAGTGGAGGTAGAAGAGGAAGAAAATTTACTAATTTATATTAGTAAACACAGCACATATCTGATAATGGTGTAGGTGCTGCATTCAAACTAGAAAACTGATTTAAGATGGTATAATGTAAGTGGGTATCATGCAGCCTCTGGGAAGGTGGAGGTATGGAGTCTGACAAAGTTTTTAGGCACCATGAGCTTTGAAATTAAAAGGCAGCATTTTAAGAAGAGAAAAAGATGCAGAAATAATGATCTTAACCAATTTAGGGGTAAATCAAGTTGAGCTGACAAGTAATTTTGAAGGTGTTGAGTGTTTGTGTCTCCAAAAAGTATAAAAGCAGAATTCTCAGAAGTTTGCCTAAAGATTAAGGAAACTGTGTTGTATTATTCTAGGGAGATGGACTTACTTGTATCTGTGCCATCTTTTATCTGTATAGCAAGGCATTGTCCATGCTAGATAGGTATGTGTCCCTTCAGAATATCTAGCATACCATTTTGAGGGCTCTACATGAAGAAAGTGCTCAGTGTCTCCAAGGAAGAGCAGAGGTCCTTTGCACATCTGTTTCAGTGTATTCCATAGTCAGTAGTCTTAGCATTGAAGATAAAGAGTTGTATGTTCTGGTTATGAAAAGCTCTCCCATGCTCTATACTGTGTGAAGTGGCAAAAATATCTAATTGAATACCTTTGATTTCTTTTTAGTCACTCCTGAGAAGTCCTGAAGTAGTACACTTTCTTCAAAAACGACAGCAGCTGCTAAGTCAACAAGCTATGGAGCAAAGGCAGCAACATTTTTCAGGAGCTCCGGTGTGATGGCAGCATAGCTAAAAAACAATTTTGTTTCATGTCAGAACATTGGATGAGGAAAACATTTGGATAAGACTTTAAAAGAAATCAGGAAACCTGGAAGAATCAGTTTGCCTTTTTTCAGAAATGGTGTTTGGCTTGTATTTCTTTGAAATTATTTTTATTAGCTTTATTCATCTTTCTTGCTCCAGGGAAATCTTCCATTAATTTTTGGGAAGCTTCATCAAACCTCTGGAGACAGAAAGAAGTTACTAGATCAAGTTGAAATCAGATTAACTGTTTAAATGTTCTGCGGTGTGAAGTTTTACTATTATGCACAAATTATTCTTTGATGACAGTTATTGAAGGATAGCAATACTTACTTTCTGTGAAAGTTTTAAGTTGTAAACCTTGAGCCAATCTGCTAGCCTATGTTGCTCAGGGATACAGAAGACAGAGTGCTGGGCGTACAGCTTTGCAGAGGAAGCTCAGCAGTGTTTAGCCAGCTGTTCCAGCATTGCTGCTAAAAGGTGTCCCGCTGGCCAATGTAGTTGATCGGTTTCTATACTACATTATAAAGTAATGTGTCTAAAGTTGGTATTAATTTCATATACATTTTATAAACATTATTAAATATTAAGTGTGGATATTTCACTATATTACTGGCATAATTCATCTTTATGCTTATTTATATTAATTTTATATTTTAAATGAATTATTTGTACTGATAAGCATAATAGTTCATACAAGGATATATGAACATATCATTTTTGTAATTTTGTAATTTTGAAGTTATTTCTAAACATGTTTGGGATTTTTAATAACCTTTTTGGAAAATGTTTAATTTAACTTTTATACACCAAACTTTTTAAATATTTCTCAATTGTTGATATTGTGTTTGATCCAAATTTAGTTATATTTAAGAGTAGACCATCTGAAATAATGGGACTTGAATTAGCCATCACTAAGGTCCTGTTGATTTCACCGGGTTTCTCTGAATAAGATTGGATCCTAAAATAGGTGTCTTATTCTGTCTTAGTATTGTCCTGGCTAATTGTGCATTAGCAGAAATGAGCCTTCTTTTAGTTCTCGACTGCCTTTTAGGTGAAAAAAAGAAAAAAACCCTGAATTGTAATAAGGGATGCAGATTTAAAATCTACATGGTGCTTCTCTGTTCTTATTGTTTCATATATATGTATGTAAAATGTTTACAATTTCGGTAACGTTTTTCAATTTTGCATGCAGAGAATAGTTAAATATAACTGTTCACAGCAACTTTCTACATCCTTTCTTCCCATACTTTTTTGTCGTGTGTCCTTCTGTATGGCAGATATGAGTGAAGCTTCAGTACATTTTGCCAGACTGTATCACCTTGCTGCTGCAGGTGGATCCAGTATCTTAAAATTTACAGAGTACAAATCTCAGGTGTTCAGAAATAGTAGCTCATAGTCTGAAGTCATACTGTACAAGTATAGTTACTGTGTACTGTGTGAAAATTGCTGGCCACACACGCTTTGCAATTACCTTGTTTGTGACAGGTGTCAGATGTGAAATGAAAGTAACTTTTGAGCAAAGAAGCTTGTAAGTTGATTTATTGTTGAAGGAGCTACCTACAAGCAGCTGTGCAGCTGACAAAGGACAGATTTTGCTGGAAGGCAAGTAGGAGACTATGACAAGATACTTTTGAAGTATACACCAGTGAAAACAGTAGTAGAAAAGATGCTTGGTATAGGTTTGAAATGTCTCTCAGAAATGTGTATTCATAGTTATAGTGGTGTGTCATGTTCCAGATGTGTGGTTCTTTTATATAGATACCCTTACATAAAATGTCTTCACCCAGTGACATAAAAAGTAATACATGCATAGAGCATAAGCAGATTTTCATTATACAGTAGTTCCAAAGCTTTGTTTAGAAAAATTGTTTCCTTCACTGCATTTGATTTTGGTTGTTTGGAGCTAGTCCACGTTTCCTTCACTGCATTTGATTTTGGTTGTTTGGAGCTGGTCCTGCTCTAATCCTGCTGTTTACCATTTATTTAGTTTGTTATTCCTTTCCCAGCTGAAGCAGCATGTGTTTAGAAATCTGCCAAGTCTAGAAATGAAAACAAGCAGACCTCTGAGGTACCTGTTTATTGAACAACTTTATTAGCAGCCAAGACAAGACATGAACACAGTTACAATAGAGGTAAAGTGAATTCTAGCTGAGGAAGTTTGTTCATAGTGGCATCTTCAAAATTATTAAATAGCCTTTAAACAGGAAGCTATGTAGATAACATAAACATATATGTTATTCATCCAGTCTGGTTTATGGTGGTTGTTAAAATGATTAGTATGGTGTCATTTTTCCCATTGTCTGATGCATAGACATATTTATTAGGTGATCTGCAGTGTACCATTAATACCTTCCACAAGAACCATTTCAGAACATTTATTCTAGCATCTCCACTCTAGCTATTTTAGTGGGGAAAGAAAGTATTTCTTCTTCCAAAGAACAAATTGTATTTTCCATGGTTTTCCAGCTACTATTTCCCATTCAATTTGGCTATGACCAGAACTTAAAAGTCACATGCAGAGATGTAGACTGCGATTAGATATGGAATATTGGCATAGTTCACTCAAGAAGGTCTCCCTCTTCTCAGTATGAAAAAGTAAATATAGTAACATGTAGTTATCACTGCCAAATATTCTAGAACCATATCTGCCAATACTTACAAAATACTTCTTGCAATTCATTATTCACAGACAGAATGAACTGAAATCTGATGTGTTATTCTTCAAAAAAGCTTTTATTAAACATTCTGATGCGCTGTGAGTGAATTTCTACAAGGAAAATGCTTTGTTACAGACAGTATAAATGAATTTTAGAATGCAAAGGAGGGAGATTTTAATAAGTTTCTATGCAACTTAGATGAATTTATTTACAGTTTGTGACTGCTTTAATTTCATTTCAAAAGCAGAACCAGCAAGGTGGACATGACTCTGCACACAAAGTATTAACAAATAACTGTCTAGATTAACGTAGAAAATAGAAGCATCACCAAATTCTTAAGACAGATTAACATCTAGATTTCTGGCATTCTAAAACAGTGATGTATACAACATTTGACAGTGGAATGGTTATTTACATTTGGAGGAAACAAACACACAAGCCACTGTTGCAGTTCCTGTGTTATTGGCTTCCTTGTCAGTGATAATAGCCTCTCAGATTGCTTTATTTCAGTATAAGGAGGAGTGCATGCCTGGACAGAAGCCTGCCTGTACTTTACGTGATGAAAGATTATGCAAACATGTATTTTTCCTTTCTCCTTTACTCTGTTTAGAGACAAGGACTATAGAAAATCATTCTTCTGTTGGGATGATAAGATGACTGAAGGATGAGAACCTCTACCACTGTTTAATCCAATACAATCTTTACAGGAATTGGCTTTATTTTTCCTTAGGCTATGTAGACTAAGTATCCATTTAAAATAAACTGAAATGCATAATGACAAGCCTGTGCATAAGTGTAAGAGGTCTGTACTGTGCATGTTGTCATTTTAGAGAAGTTTGCAGATCCTCGCTCAAGAAGTATCAACTGTCCTGACTGGCTGTTTCAGACCATAGTTCTGTCACTTTTTATCTGCCAGTAAGCCCTTTTAAATTCAATTGAACGTTCTTATGAATAGTTCCAATGCACACAACTGCACTACTAGAGTTAAAGTAGTGGCCTGTCATAGAAATGTTTTTTCTTCTTCTATGCTTTAATTAAGAAAACTCCGTTCAAGACTACTGTTGCAAATGAGGGAACATACTTAACATGAAAGGCTAATCTCAGCCTTGTTTCGGCCTTAGCACTATTGTTAAAATGAGAAAACCCTTCGTTAAAGTAACCTACCAAGCCTAATCCAGATTCACATTGCTAGTAGTGTAAGAGTAAGGTAAAGGTAAAGGTTTGACCATTTTTGTCCAGTCATGTTTGACTCTAGGGGACGGTGCTCCCCCCCGTTCCCAAGCCATAGAGCCAGCATTTTGTCCGAATACAATCTTCTGTGGTCCCATGGCCAGTGCGACTTAGACACGGAACGCTGTTTACCTTCCCACCGAGGTGGTCCCTATTTATCTACTCACATTTGCATGCTTTCGAACCGCTAGGTTGGCGGGAGCTGGGACAAGTGACGGGCGCTCACTCCGTCGCGTGGATTTGATCTTACGACTGCTTGGTCTTCTGACCCTGCAGCACAGGCTTCTGCGGTTTAGCCCGCAGTGCCACCAATATGCAGTGTCTTTTAGGAATTGAATGTTAATACAGGAGCTCCCTGGGTAAGATGAGGAGAAAACTCTTTATGGTGAGCAAGGCTACATAATATGCTGCTCGGAACTACAATGATCATACTCCATAACTACTGACTATGTTGATGGGAGCTATCTGGAGGGTCCCAGGTTCCCTAAGGAGCTAGAGGAATGCTTGTTCTACTCACAGTTGAAGCAGGGAATTTTGGGAGAAAAGTAGGAAGCATACAGTATTGAATAAATTAGAAAGCAATTATTATACATATTATACATAATGAGCAGCATGTCTCCTTGACTTTCTCACACCCTGAAAGCTTTGCTGTTCACATGACACACCAGTCTACTAGGCTAGAATCCATGTTTACAAAACTTTAATCCTTATTATAACAGCACATATGTTACAACCTGGTTCAAAAAAATCTAGAAAGCTCCCAAATTACTGTTTAAAATATGCCTTCTTGAAAACTGGTGGGGAGTAGGGAGCCAAGAACATTTAACCTGCTTTTGTTATACTCAAGGCTATGACTGTTACATCAGTAACTTAGAAGTCGTGATTTATACATTCAAATTATTAACAGTCTGAACATAGTATTGCTTACTTGGAATTAAATTATAATATTTTGGATCCAGATTTAGTCATGCCTAGAGTAGATCCTCTGGAAAAAAATGAGGCAAGTTAATAATGACTAATTCAAATCTAATTAATTTCGGCTTTCAGAAGCCTCCTGGGGCTTTTTCA